TTATTAAGAGCTACAAGGTCCATATTAGTGTTTTAATTATTTTGTTAAAAAAATCCTTCCCAAGTTATAGAACCCCTTTACACACTCTCTCTCCACACCTGCTAGTACCAGAACTGTAAGCTGATCCAGTACAACCCTAATGTTTCCCACAGTTGCTTGAAATACTTGTGTTAGACTAAGAATTTGGCTACAATGCATCAGAAACCCATCAAATACCCTGTCTCAGGAGAAAAACAAACAGGTATATGGAAAAATCAAGCCTGCAGAGTTGAGCATAATGGCTCAGATTTTATCCTCTACTGGAATCTGTTGGGATGGATTTAAATAGTTTGCTGTTAGGTCAGTAAGTTTCTGCAGTGTCACTGGGAGGAATAGAGTGATGAGAAGAGAGCAATTGTTTCCTGGAAATCAGTCTTTGGTGATAGGAATTACTACTGCACCAGATGCTGACACAAATATCACTTCTAGTCTTATAAAAACAAAAGACACCTAGTTTGTTTAAAAAAAACACTAGTTCCATTTTAAAAAGAATGCATATAGCTTTTGGAGGTGATGCCTTGGTGTTAATACACTGACTAATGAAAACATTACCATAATAAGATCTGCTGACCAAGCACCAATTCTCTCAGCTGCTAAGACATTGGCAATCCTTCCACAAGTCACTTAAAATAAATGAACTCGTCCTTGTACTTCTTAAGCCAAGCCTGTGGTCTAAAGCAATATTTATAGGGTCAGTAGGGAAGTTTAATCTCTCCTCAATTTGTATTGGTGCCTATCAGCACACAAAGCGTTTGTCTCCGCAGAGGAGAAAAAGAATGATCTTTTGCGCATTAAAGAAGTCTCAGAACTCTTTAAAGTTGCATTGAGCATAGAAAAAAGCAATCTCTTCCTTCCAGCTCCAAACAATTCTCCCCAGGAAGCTCCCACTGAACTAAGATGTATGCTATGGTAGCTGGACTGAGTTTTACATTGTCTACAGCTGAAACATACATCCAACACACTGGCCCATTCATCTGCCCTGGAAGACTGCTGCTTCTTTTAGCCCCTTAGAGCTAATAGAAAACACAGTGATAATTTGCATTCATTGCCATTCCCCATGCTACCAGCATCGACCTTCACACAAGACAAAACAGTACAAGTAGTCTGAATGGCCTGAAACAAAGGTATGGAGTTAAAAGAGAAGGTCAGGGTTTGGGTTTTTGTTTGTTTTGTGGCTTTTTTCCTTCGGCTTACAAAAAGTACCAAAGTCAAAGCAATACTGGTTTTAAAAAAAATTATCTAAACCATTCCTTACTAAGTGTTCTTCCCTGAATTAAACATTTAAGAAAAACAGGAGTAGACAGTTGCGCTGAAATTTCCAAAGTGTTGAAAATGTCACTGAACAAGATGAAACAAAGCTTCACTGTCCAAAATGTAAATGCTGGACTGGGCTGAAATTTAATTCCTAGGATTTGGCAGCATGGGAAAGTCACTTAGCATAACAGTCAAATGCCAGAATCAAGCTTAAAAATCCAGCACTTTCCTGTTGCCATCTTGTTGCAAAGGTTTCATACCTTCTTGGTGATTTCTCATGGGCAGCTCCTCACAGCACTGACTCCTTCTTCTTCTCAGCACAGCCAACAAAGTCCATCCAACCTTCTGCCCCAGCCAACCTGCTCTTTTACAATAGCCCTCCTAACTGGGTCCAGCTGTGGCCTATTAAGGGCAGGCCTGTTCCTAATTCTTGATAATTAGCACAGCTGTAACTCCTTAGGGTTGAGATTACCACTATCTCTATTCTCCTCCATTCTATCTATCCACACTTTCCATCCTATCTTACACACATATCTTACTGTGATATGCATCACAGTAACTCACATAAGATTAGTCTCACAACTTCAGCTGTCTAAAAGTCCAGTACCTGATCTAATCACCGGGGCTCTGTATACAACCCATGGAAGGAGCTGTCCACTTCCAGAAGGCAACTAATCCCATCCCTTCCAGCCCCTCTCAGCACCAAGTGTCTTCTGGAGGTGCCAGTCTCTGCAGCTTGCTATCAAGAGAGCCAAACTGGTGATGTCCACAACTAGTAAATGAAACACATCAGGTAAATGAAACAGCAAATGACAGCAGGCTTGAAAACGCTTGGTTATGGTGCGGAACTCTCCCTGCAGTCTGAGTGTTAGCACACATCATGGCACCGTGTCAAACTGTACCAGCCAAGATGCTCTGAAGCAGTGCCAGGCACAAGCTGGGGGCGCAGCCCTGATCAGAGGCCATTCCCAGCCAACCATCTGGATGCAGATAATCTACTGGGGGTGGGAAAGGGAAAGAGACTTCAGACATGTGAGCCACAAGTGCCACAGGACAGTGCCTGCCCTATTTCATTTACTAGTATAAGCGAAGCTACTTCAGATTGTATTCCTAAATTCTACATGTCTCAAGCCATGCAGAATGACTCCATCCTCCATCACTGAGGGAAAAAAAAAAAAAAACACACAAAAGAAAACACCCCAAAAACAACAACAACAACAACAAAAACCCCAAAAAGCCTGCTTGCTGGTCACTGAAAGAGCCAGAAGTGCTGTACTCTTAACTCTTCTCTGCCAGCTGTCATTAAATCCACTCTCACTCTTTTGATTTTTGGTGGCTTTGTTTTAACACCAGCAGAAGAAAGGAAGAAGTGTGGAGGGAAGCACTCAGCCCTGGGGCAGTGCTTGTGCTGGAACCACAAGGTTCCAGCAGCTGTCACTGCCTGGGCACTTCTACTCAAGCAGTCTGGCAGAAACAACCCATCATCTGGTATGAGATAACAAATACCAGGAAGGAAACATCAATATCCATACATGTTCTGTCTTGAAACAAATACTAAATTCAGCTAAGAACCGTCTATCAGGCATCATTTTTTCTCAGCACTTATTATTCCTTATCCAAAACCAAGGATATGGCTCCTTGAGCAACACTCTCTAATTGGGGGAAACGCCCTAAGATGTTTTCCCAATTATAAGCCATCTGTGGTCACTCTGTATTATCTAGTCAGAAGCTACATCTCTTGCTGTTGTTCTGAGCACTGAAAACAATTAAGTTACTCTCAGAACCTGTCCAAATGGAGCAACTCAGCTTTGAACCCCTCCAGCAAGAACCAAGTTCAACAAGCCCACTGACCTCAATCAGCTCAGACCCTGTCCAGAAGACACCAAGACAGAATACAGCTGGCATATGTATATGAACTCAGAGACAACTTAGCATTTCTACCAAATTGGCCTGAAGAATAAGTGACAGTCTTGCAGCCTCCATTGCCTCTAACTTCCACTCTTTCACTGGAATTTAACTACCCTGTCAATGAGACTCCACTGTACATTCTCTGTCCTTTGGTTCCTGGAATCTAGCCACTGTAAAAATGGTGTGATTTATTTCAAAAGTCACTTTAAATAACCTAGATGAAATTAGGAAAAAAATTCAAAAGCAAACTTTATTTATGTTTTCTGATCTTATTATTTTTCTGGTAGTTTGTCAAGAAAGTGGTATGTGTTCATGTTAGCTATAAATTGAATTATGTACTGGCATCAAATTAGCAACACTCAAAGCTAAGAGACTTTGATAATATTAAGAATATCAAACAGGAAATTTCAGAGCGTGCAGCGTGCTCTACCAGAACTGCATCTTCATTCAAAGAAGTATCAATGCTCTGTGACAAGGTCAGTGTTCACATGCTCATTCACATTTCTTGACTTTTGTCAAGACTCTCAATAAAAACAATTTTGGAAGAAGTCATATGATGTGAGTGCTACCCCATTAACACCTGGATAGAGAATTCCCAACTCAGTTTACAGGCAGTACATTACAAAACCGTACTTCAGAGGATCAGGTTTTCAAATTCCTCCAACATGGTCAGAGATTCAAATAGCCTCAAATAGAAGCTTGAATGCCACACATATCACATTCCTGAATTACCAATTACCCTGAGTCATCTAATATGCAAGGAAATTGTGTCGCTGGTTTAAAAAAGTATTTGAATTCTTATTTCCTCTTAATTAGAATTAATCTATTTGAGTAAGTTAATAAGGTTTCATAAAAAAGGATGGTTTGTGTAACTTCTAACACAATTAAATATTAATAAACTCCTGTGGGAGCTAGATCAATGGAGTACAAAATGTCTTCCTGAGTTTTATCTTAAAACATGTCATTCTAACCAGTTATGTATTTCTCCACACTCTGTAAGAAGTTTTATACTGCAGTAGAACAGTGATGAAACCACACAGAAAAATCTCAACATTTACAGAATAAAGAAGTGTGTGCAGCTCACGCTCAATTTCAAGAATGGATTCTACCATAGTCAGAAATAACTAACCATCACAAATAGAATACACATACATAATCAATCTGAAATACTATATATAGTCCATCTAGATAGTGATTAACCTGAAATTCCCCTTCTCTGGCCCTACTTGCAACAAAACCAGAATACTATAAAACCTAGAGTTAATCGTGTATCCAATCCTAAAAGACAAAATAAATCACCTTTTTCTATTTTTCCTTTAATTCTTTTATGACCTTTTGTAGAACAACATTTCTAGGTGTCCGGGTTTCTTCTTTTCTCTTAACTAAGGAAGAAGAATAATAAATCTGAACCTCCATTTCTAATCTCAATAACGTAAGGTTAGTAGTACACTCGTCATGTGATAAAGGTGTTGGAGACCCTGGTCAAACACAGGCAATTGTTCTTGAATTTCTAGCACTTTGGTCTAGAACATAGAAACTGGAAGTCTGCAGAAAGTTTTATAAGTAACTTTTTTTTTTCTTTTTAAATTTTGAAAATAAATATCTGTGCTAAATAAAAATAACATAACTAAAATGAAACAAAAGATCCCACATGAAATATTAAAACCTTCTGGTTATCAGTTCACCAGAACACTTCAGAGAAGTCTAAGTTCCCCTTCTCAACCCAACTATTTAATGACCAGTCCTTTCACTGACATATTTACAGAAAGGTTCATATTATTAAGATTTCAAAGCATTCATTAGCAGGAGGCACAACAGTGAAACTTACATTGACATTCCTTGCAGCACTTGCCATCCACGTAGGCCAGGGCAGAGTTAAGTGGACAGTCAGCAAGGGGGCAAATCAAAGCCTCGCACTGCACAGTACCGTTCTAGGAGAACAAAAGGTGCTTAACTGGTGGTTTTATTTAGCAACAGCAGAGATGTTCTCAAACACAGGAACTTGAAAATCTATTTTTAAATACAATGAACTTTCTAACAATGTCCAAAAAAAAGATAGTTTAACTTGGGTCTTTTAATAACTACAAGGAGAGAAACCATGCCTTCAGAATGTCACACATACAATCCTTTAACATGAATGATGTGCTCTTTGAGATGATAATGATCAATTTTTTTTTAGAGGCAAGTCTATTTGGAGGCAAAACATTCTGCCAATCAGCAAAAAAACTTGAGATATTACTGTGAAATGACAACTGTACAGAATAATACTCTGCCTTCTGATTATGTTAGAGAGAATATATTTCTAAAAGGTAGAAATATTATAGCTGTGAGAAAAATCCAAGACAAAAATATGCAATGAATTTAACTCTAAATTCAAAGAATTTTAAACACTTATCAGCCAGATTTGATGCCAGAAAATACTAAAAGCAAAATGAATATCCATCCAGAAATAAAGGTAAAAAAATATTAAGCTTAAAGAGACCCATTTAGATAATTATAGATAGCAGCAAATCAATCTAAGGTGCAGAACAGACAACAACAACCTTTTCACTGGCTTCTAATGGCCTTTGGATTAAGCATTTAAGGAGTTCAAATGGAATTAAAGAGTTTTATATGAATGGGCAGCAATACAGACGCCCTAGCTTGGTACCTGAAAGGATACTTGCAATCACATCTGGAGTTGTGATACCTTTGGGAATCTTCCATCCACCAAATCTTTTTCATTTGTAATATAACAAAGCTTGCATATGACCCTGACATTTTACTTTTTATTACTTATTGAGATGTAACCAAAGGCAACCAAAGGAAATTGGGCACGAGGGAACTATTAAATCATTTGCTAAGAAAAAGGCTGACTTTATAGAGACAAAAAGCAAGGAATTAGAATTCCAGAGAAACTGTTTGCAACTCAGTGCAAGGGAATAACATGATATCTAAGTATATTCCCTAGCACCTGCACACGGTGACATGGAATACAGTAGCTACACAAGCTAGTAATGCAGAAAACATAGGAAAACATATTTATTATACTATTCCTTAGATTAAGAACAGATTTTAAAATTCTTTGTTGTCAGTACCTAGCACACATCTGGAAGCTCTCAATAAAACTATTCAGAGGAAAGACTGGAGTTCCTGACTCTCCACTCAAACCATAGCCATACCATGCAAGTGCAGTTCTTACAGCCATCCGTCCAGGATTCAAACTCTCTGTAGGTTGTGCCTTTCATTGTGCAGGTTCTTTCACAGTAGCACTGATCCAACTTGTTCATCCTCTGCTCAGCTTGAGACAACTGTATTTACAGTTCACAAAAATGTTTTGAATTTTTAAGTGGCTTCCACGTTAGTAAAAACACAATTCAAACTGTCCCCAGTACACAGATGAGAGAACACACTTAGGAAAACACAATCAGAGAAAATAAAACAATTATTGCTAAATACAACATGATGAAACCACCAGCCATTCAGAGACGGAAATTGAGAAGTAAGACACAATGCATTTAATTTCTCTTATCATCCTGACATCAGGGACATCATGAAATAAAATTAGCAGGTCAAAATGGGTACAGCTCCTCATTTCTCATCTTTGTATGGGCAAACTGATCAAGAATCTTGTTCCACATACAGTACTGGCAGAGGGGCCAAATAAGCTCAGAACTGGCATTAGCAATTTTTTCTGCTCTTCAGCCAAGGCATTTCTAACATTAGTGTATCAAAGCAGCTAGGTAACAGCATTCCTGTAGATATCTAAAGAACTGACATTTAAAATCACAGTAGTCTATTTTCACGAGCAGACATGAACGTTTTTGGTGTCATATTCTACAGGAAAGAAAGAATAAAGTCCTGGTTTGGATTTTTAGTTCTTTGTCTTGCACATATTTTGTCTGAACGTGTCTTTGGCAGCTCGGGTCTTAAAAAGTCATGGAAAGTCTTGCTGTAATAAACACAGTTACCTATTTAATTCTAGGTTTATTGATTTATTAGCCTTATAGGTAGAGTTTCGATATCTATGAGCTTTTCCTTTCTCAGGGATTTGGATGCTCTTTACTATTAAAATTCATGATTCTATAAAAATACTAAAACACAAGAAAACTCTCTGAACTGAGAATCTGTACGTATAAATTAGGAAGAGGTATATAAAGATGTAAACATACCATGCAGGGATGTTCTGCTCACAGCCATGTGCACAACCCCCTACAAGCATGATTAATCTAAAAATACAGCAAGTAAAGACCGGCAATCCTCATTTTGCCTATGACTAGAGTCCTAGTAAACATTACCTTAGCTGATGTTTTTGCTAAAATGTCTTGCAGTTCCATAATTTTCTGTACAAGTCCATGGAAGTCATTACAAGTTGGGCATGCTGGAATAATACAATACATGTTAATAAATTAATTCACAATAGGTTCAATCATGCCAAAGTTGACAAACAATACACTTAAACTCAAGGTTTTAAGACATCTTGTAGGACAGAAAGAAGGTAAAAAGCACACCTTACATTTTATGATATAAGAATTAATAGACTTACTGCGATTAAGATCTGGGCACTGAGAAATAAATCCTTGAGGCATGACAAGTAATTGCACATCTTGCATTATGCCCTATGTGTTAGTGGAGACAAAACAAAAGGATACATTATTTTTACCTGTCAAAATTATGTTTTTTCATTCACCATGTAAAACATTAAAGCTCACAAAGAAAAACTACCTGTTTAAAAAAAAACTTATGAATAAACAGCTTCAAGTCTGGACTCAATTCAGTGATAGAAGAATAAGCAGAAATAAAAAAAGATAGATGTACAGGCATACTGAACAATTTTTAAAGACATAAGATTAAATGTCAAGATATAATTATGTGGCAAGAGTTTGGTGGGTTTGAATTCATTGTTATTTTTAGTTAGTCAATGCAGAAAAGCTTGCAAATGACCTTTAAAAAGTAATTTGAAAACAGCTGCAGTTTCAGTTACTTAGAAATACTCTTTTAAATAAAATGCAAATTTTTTACAAGCTGTAACTCTTAAATAGATTTGAAGATTAAAGAAACTAGAGTCAAGAAAAATATGTTAATGCAAACCCTTAATGAGTTTGTGCTGGTTTTGGCTGGAGTAGAGTTAATTTTCTTCACAGGAAAGTAGCTGGCATGAGGTCATGTTTTGGATTTGTGCTGGAAACATAGTGCTGATAACACTGGGATGTTACAGAAATTACACAACAGCAAGGCCTTTTCTGATTCTCCTACCACCCCACCAGTGAGCAGGTTGGGGATGCCCAAGGAGTTGGGAGAGAGACAGCCAGGACAGCTGCCCCAGCTGACCAAAGAGAAGGGGTCATATCCAAGACCACAGGGCATCATGCACAGCATTTAAAGCTGGGGCAAAGAAGGAGTTTGGAGTGGTGGCATTTGCCTTCCCAAATAACCATTACAGAGCCCTGCTTTCTTGGGGATGGATGAACACCTGCTTGCCCTTGGAAAGTGGTGAATGAATTCCTTGTTTTGCTTTGCTTGTGTGGCTTTGCTTTACCTATTAAACTCTGTATCAAACCACGAATTTCTGGCTTTTACCCTTCCAATTCTCTCCCCCATCCCAGCAGGGAGGGAAGTGAGCAAGTGGCTAGGTGGTGCCAGCTGGAGTTAAACCACAACAAATTCTAATGGTGATCCTTCCATAAAGCTTGCAAAATGCTGAGAAACTACATATCTGTTACACAGCTTCAAAGCTGCATGTTGTTAAAAACTCAGGGAGATTTCAGCATGAAATCAAACTATGATGTCTGGAACGGGATGGTTTCACCCACAAGAATAGACCCCCTGCTTGCTGACAGATTTTATATGCTTAGTTAAGATATAATTAGTAGCCAGTATGCTGCTCTCCAATAGCAAAGACCAAAGAGCAATTTCAAAGCAATCCAAGAGCTGTGTTATGATTACAGAAGCACAAACTGATGACCTCCTGAGATCATCTACTCCAATGTCCCTACTCAAGAAGGATCAGCTACAGCAGATTGCCTAGGACTGTGTCCAAACAGCTTCTGACTATCTCCATAGTCATCTTTCTTTGACAGGCCTCACAGTAGAATTGTTTTCTCATGTTCAGATAGAATTTAAGGTGTTTCAGGTTTTGCCCATTGCTTCTTGGCCTGTCAGTGGGCCCTAGTGAGAAAAGTCTGGATCCCTTATCTTCATTCCCCTCACATATTTATCCACATTGATGAGATCCTCCTGAGCCTTCTCTTCTCCAGCCTTCCAAATCTCTCAGCCTCTCATCATATGAAAGGTGATTCAATCCCTTTAATAACTTTATTTCACTCTATCTTTCAGGGAATGCATACCTTAAAATAACCATGTGCAGTATTCCTCTGTCCCAGCCAAAAGGTTGTACCCAAAGGTAAGTCCATGAAAGGCTTCTCCACAACTCTTTCATAAATTCTACAAAGGAAGGAGAAAATAGAATCCCAAGTTGTTATCATTTAATTTACTCAGAGCTCAAATATTCCAAATGTGACAATTTCTTATACAACAACTCTCTTTACTTACTTATTGCAGTCCACATGTAAAATCAAGTGAGAGGCACTGATTGCTAAGGAAAGTCTGTGCCATTTATCATCTGCCAAAATGTATGGGAACACTTCTGTGTGGGAGCGATGACTGCCTGAACGATAATGCAACCTGATTTCATTTCGATGACCGCTGCTTTCCAGCTCCAGGTACCTGTACCACAAATGCATCATCATGTCATGAACCGTTCTTTTCAGCACAGCAACATTTTATATAAGACATCTTCTCATCATCATGCAAGAATTATTTTTTAAAAAAGGAAAAAACATAAGCAGATACAGAGGCAAAAGCAGACCCTTTCAGATTTCCACTGCATCTCACTTCTCAGCAACAAATAATAGCAGGTTAAACTTTCATGTAATTACACAAGATTCCAAGTCAAATATGTTTTCCTCTAACAAAACAATTTTCCATAACATGATCTGAATTACATTATTATAAATAATTGCCTTATACAGTGAAAGCACAATAGGAATACTCTGAAGGCCTGAATGCACAAAAGACAACTCCAAGTTCTGCAATAGGGACATCATTAGTAATTACCAAGGGAAGTAAAGACTGAGACTGAACACTGCTTTGTTTGTTTTTATACATGCTGTTACATCTTCTTTCATTTTCTGTAATAAAATTAGTATGTGTATTTCCAGGGTGGGTGTACACACACATATATACACATCTATATATGTATATGCATATATATGTAAATGTATACACATATATATGTAAATATGGATATATGTGTGTATATATAGCAAAAAGCCAGCAGTGCAGCTGTGCTGAGATAAGTGAATCTAGCAGATTGCAAACACAAGCTTTGAGGGTGAAATTCCAGCCATTCAATTTAAAAAGCACTCCATAACCAAACTCAGTTCTTAGACAGGCTGTCTCTCACATGTTGGACATCCTCTGGGAAAAAGCCTGACTAACTGCTTGTATTTTTAAGGTACTGAGTTTCTCATTTTAAAATTCCCCAAGAAAATTATTTTCACAAAGGAAAGAGAAACAGAAAGAGATTCTCTAATAATCATATGTAACCTAAAGCTAAAGAGAGAGGAGAATAATGGATGGGGTGAGACACACAACAGCTGGGAGAATGGACAACTCATTTTTGTCTATTTTTGTGGCTACATCTGCAGTCAGACATGGCAGTGGCTTGCAAGCTGAGTGCACATGTATTCTTGGGTGATGTCATTTACTTTAACAGATTATCTATATTAAGGAATAGAAAAGACAATAATTGTGGTTTTGAAGAGTAGAAATGAGACCAAACCAAAACTATCTTGCACAATCATCGTCCCTAGAAGACAGCTGGGCTTACTGCACATCCCTGCTTCCTTCAGAGTGTTCCACAGTGGAACATACCTAGCAACAGCACAAAATCACCTAATTTTTTTGCAAAACCAGCAAAGGACAATATCTTCTTCCTCCCCAGTACTAAGAAAGCAGTTAACTAGAGTCAAATATAAATTTTATAATCAATTTACCTCCTCATGGCCCAAAAATAATTTTTGCATCGGCAAGAAGTAGAAACTAATTGAAGGTCTGGCTGGAAAATTGCACAATAGTGGCAGGACATCAATCAACTTAATAACCTCCTTCATAACTCAAGCTTCAAGGATAAAATAGGGTTAGTCTCAACCCAAAAGAAAGGGGAACATTAGAGAACTTGACTCCTCCAGCAACTTTTAAGTGTCTCCACCCAGCTGCAGAAAAAAAATGGAAAACAAAAGGCATGGATACGTTGAAGCATTACCTCCTGGTAGAACTAAGAGCTCTCCTTCATTCCAAGTCAATAGCAGAACTGATGGCAGAACATACACATGCAGGCAGGCAGGCAACAAGCTACACTAATAGACATACAGTCACTACAGAAGGTATAAAACAAACACTTGTGTTGCCCTTATGCATGTAAGATAATGAAACCTCTGCAGATGAATCATGGATTTTCCAATAGAAAGAAGACATTGCTGTACAAATGTCATGAATTAAGAACTGCTGAGAGAGGATGCTGACAATCGATGATGCTGTAATAAGCAAGGAAATTTTCCTACACAAACTCAAAGAAACTGTGGACACTTGTGGTTTTGTTTTAATGGTGATTAACACACTGTTTTGACATTCACAGACAATATTTTTTGTTCTTCCATTTGGTAAACTAACAAATATAACTACCTTTGAAATGAGAAAACATGCATCAAAATGAAAAAGAAAATAACAGCCATTAGGAGAATTATTAGAAGAATCATTTATGGTTTATTAATAATCTGTAGAGGCAGCAGCAAAACACAATTAGAAAAGCAAGTGAAATGACAGCCAAAGCAATACTGCTTTTAGCTTGAACAAATGCCATGATGCTGAAACACTGAAGTGAAAGTTAATAATTTCACCTCAATTTTTTACAAAATGCTGTTCTTGCTATTCCCCTTTTCTACATTTGTTTAACTGCCTGGACTTACACGGCTCTGTCTCAGTCTCATGAGTTTCAGGAGATAGGACAAGACTCAGCACTGACAAACATATCTGGGTGAAAATGCAAAGTCTGCCCACAGTGAGGCTTCTTGTTCCATCTGTGAGGCTGTAACACTTGGGTGCAAGGTTTCCAAAGGTTTGGAAGAGTCTTTCAGAAAATACGCTAAGCATAAACAAACAGACCTGGATTTTAGAAATTCAGGTCTGGTGACAAAAACACCCTATACTTCTCTGTACACTCAGGATTAGTAATCATTTGAGAGAAAAAGGAGGTTGCTCTTAACTTCTGAAGGCCTTGCTCCCAAAAGAAAGTAACTGCATTGTACTGCAGTCTTCTCCTAGCCAAGAATCTCATTACTGAAAAACTTCAGGGGAACCTCATCAGCTGAATCACCAGTTCCTTGTCCACATAAGCCTAGCCCAGCCCAGTCATCACAGTGAGAGCAGCAGCCAAAGATATCCCATTTTAAATATCACTGATGCTTCTCCCAATAGCTCCAAGGTCTTCTGTGCTGCAGAAGGCAAATGACTATTGGAGTGAAAAATAAACCACAATGAGAAACCCAACACAACAGCAGAACCTGCAACTCTCTAATATCCATAATCTCTGTGATGGTTTAATCAATACCTACTGATTTTAAGTTTCCCCAAAAAAACCACACCCACCTTGGGTTAAAATTGGATTTAACTTCACAGGGAGATGATATGTGCTTAGGTTTTTCTATGTTCAACATGAAGAGAAGAAAATGGCAACCTGGAAAAAAAGGTTGCTACATCTCTGTAGATCACTCTGTATGTGCAGAATCATTGCAAAGGCAACAGCCAAGGCCACAGCATCAGATCAGCTGCTCTGCTTGGAAACCAGCCAGCCAGCGATCCCTAACATACTGACTACAGATGAGCCTGTCTTTGTAAGGGGAAGAAATTTGTTTCAAATGCCCTGGAGGGATCTAAGACAGAAAACAGTGATGTTTGCTCTGCTGCTCAGCACTGATCTATTGTAACTTCTGGGTGAGAGCTGGGAATCAGCAGATCTGCTCAGCTGTGGAGTTCTAATGACCATCCACAGGGCACGCGGTCACACCAGCCCAGGCAGGACCTGCTCTTGGGGAGGTGACACACTAGCACAAGGGAGACTCTGGAAGTAAAAGTCAGTGTACAGCAAAAACTTAGAGATTTAGGGGGTGAAACAGGATGGTCTCAGTGCACACAGTAGCAGTCTTTGAGAAGAGGGAGGTATGGCCATTCCAGCTAACAGGCAGTGTTGGCAATGCCAGGTCTTTGGAAGCTCACTTGCTCATTTGGCATCCTTTCTCACACAACAAATGCACATACTTACTCCACGCAACTAATAATTTCAACTTTCTTTTACAGCATGTAGACAAATATTTCAGAAGCTAAAGTCAAAATATCATGCCTCCTGCTTATGAATTTATTACAGTGTGGCAGGTTTTTGTAACTTTTCCTACTCACGTTTACAGGTAAAATGCTAAAATATTTCTTCCTGGCTCTTTGACCTACACTGAAAATAAAGGCAAATCAATGAAATTAAAGAACAATACATACCTAAGAAAAAAAAATTTGAATCCCTATCTCCATCACTTATGAAAAAAATATTTAGCTGAAGATTTTTGCTATCAAAGCTCTGCCTTTTTTGTTAAGTTTAATTGCATAAAACATTAAAAATAAAAAGGAGATCCTACACAGTAGACCTCATTGCACAATAGCAGCAAGCAATTCTGCTACGTGTAGATTATGAAGATATAAAAACAACTCACACAGCACCACTACCACATTCAGCAATGCATTATTTGCTATTTTCTGTGGCATCATGACTGAGTGTCAGGAGTGTGAGCTTTATTTTTCTATGTTTCAGGACACTTAATTTGGAAGTAACACTAAGTGTTCTGAAATATTAACTACAAGTTTTTATTGCCTAGTGCATCCCCTAAAACAACATGGCATCAAAATATCCCCAGAGAGGTTGTAATTTTTTTTTCAACCTAAATGATTCTATGGTTATATGAAATGTCAAGGGGCAGCTTCATTTTATCTGTAAGAATCTAGTTCCCACCTCTCACACTACTGCTTGATCTTACTGGTTTTATCCTTTTCCATTTAGAGCTCTACCTAGACAAGAGAATACTAGCATTTTTATCAGGGAATTATTAGTTAAAAATTTGTCTTTGCTTTTCTGGATATGTTGTAGCCCTTAGTGCAAGTGCAGAATGGGCAGGAATGCTACTAATTCCATTTCTGACCCTTCCTTTTGCTGAATGCAGTTTTAAAGCCAGACTGTAATTTTCTGACTTAGGGCATTTTTGTTCAAAAATGTTGATCCATTCATTAAAACCAGATCTTTTGACAGAAACAAACATTCTTACAGCAAAACTTGTGGGGTCTTGGATGACAAGACTTGCTAAAATGGGAGCATGAGACAGAGCACATATATAAGATTCTCTGGAAGACTTTCTCAAATATCTTTAATGCCATGATTATTACCTATATGAAAGCAGAAATCCCAAGTGAAGAGAGCTCAAAAATTAGAAGAGGGTGTTACCCATATTGACACAGATTGTATAAACAGCAGGACAGCAAAACCATCCTCTCAAATTTCTATTATAAAACTGGTGCTCCACTTAAACTCGTATCCAACTTGGTGACCTCTCACACCTTTTCCCTGA